TATCTTAAATTGGAATTATTTGTCATTTATCACTCTCCGTATAATGAATTCTAATAGAGATAGTTTTGACACAATTTTTGAAGCAGTTTCACACTCCGGCGACTGGTATATACATATAGGAGGTGCAGAGAAAGAGCCTGCCAAATCTAATTCTGAGTCGCTTTATTTGATCATATTTTACATCGGCTTTGACGCTGCCCTCGAAAGGCAAGCTTTTAAAATACATTACACGTTGCAGCGGACGAAAAGTGGCATGAGAGTGGCTGTGTGTATATATATGTATATATAGCAATCATATTGCTGAACGATCGTTCTTTCAAAAACCAGATACAAAAGAACAAAAAATGCTCAACATAAACCATCAAAATTATTCTTCTCCTAAATGATTTATGAAAAAAAAAAAGAATTTTTTTTTACAATTTGTTTCTTTTTTTTTGTTGATAATACTCAGTAAGTTATGTTGATCGTTTCATAATAGTGTAGGAATATAAATATTTTATTCATGATGACAAAAAGGTTAGCTGGCGCCTCAAGTAAAATAAATGCCCCGGCAAATGGTACAGGAGCGGAGCGCAAGTTTCAAGTATGTGCGATGGTTCTGGTGTTTTATCGGGGAGGTGAATGTGTAAAGGTAGCGTATATACTTGGTTGCGGGATGCTGACAGAAGGGGAGAGATGAGAAAAAGAGAAAGAGAACAACGGCTGCAAAATGTTCCTGACGCTTTGTACACATTTGCATACCGCATCCGTGTGTGTAGCGACGTGTGAAATTCAACTCTCTTCCTCTCTCACTCTCCTCCCTCTGCTTCTAACGTTTTTCCCTCTCATCCCACCATTTTTTTTTTTTGCAACCATCGCACACTTTTCCTCTTTTTGCACAGCTTTCATGCGTCTCTTTTTTTTCATATTTCTTTTCTTTGGAAAAACCCAAGGATCTCAGACAGATCCCTCATGAAATATTCCATTGGTGTGAAGCATTTCATATTTTCGATGCTTCTTTCATCGATGGCTTAGTTTAGAAAGTACTCCACTTGAGAAAGTGGAAAGAGAAGGTAATTTTATATATACATAAGGAAAATAAATTCTATTTTCCATGGAAAATAAACGATATTTATATATCGTATAACAATGAAGAATATATATTAGAACCATATTAACTATATAGCGGAAAGTTCTCGAAAATTATAAATATCAATAATTTTAAAAAATTAAAATAATTGAAACACTTAATAAAAATAAAGAAGTTAAGCGATTTTAGGAAGAAAATTTTCTGATCGTCGTTGGAAACTCGATCTTACGTCCCAGGGGTGTAAGTTATAGTTATAGTAACAGAGCCTATATATATATAAATGGAAGATGGATACATAGATGGAATCCTAACTGAATCTCTTCCCTTCGAGATGTCTTTCCCTTTCTTATACTACTCTCTACCTTTATCTTAAAGCATGATGTTTCTATACATTTATCTCTATCTCAACTAAACCTATATATACCTTTTTGCCCACCCTCGTACCTTATGACGGTGTGCTCCTCCCTTTTGAACGTCCCACCAGTCCCTTCGGGCAACCAATCCCAAGTAAAGTTTGTTACACAACTCGACGAACTTTCGAAAATGGTCCACTGCCTTCGAGCACAGTAAGCCGTTCTTGTTCCCTTGTTAGTAGACTTCACTCTTTGGCGCAGATCTTTGCGGAAACCGCAGCGTATAGTTCACTCTCGCCAACTTCCTTACCTAACTATAATTCTGATTTCTCTACCATTATAACTTGCCATTAATGAGAATCTATTTTGCTAATAATATATTTTATAGAATTTTTATTTATATATATATACTTCGAGATAAATTATAATTTTCGAAATGTATCGTACTGAAAAAAAATTATTTGATTCAATTAGATTACTTGAATATTATCAAATAAATATTTATTTGAATCAAATAAACTTTATTTCAATCAATAATTTCTATATATTTGAAAGAAATCAAATTTAACTGACTTAAAAATTATTTGATTGAAGAAAATATTTATTTGATAATAGTCAAGTAATCGATTATTTGAATCAAATAAATTTTTTTTCAGTGCAGCGAATTGTATCATTTTTTGACAAAAAATTTGTGAAATTTTATTTATTGAATTTATAAATAATAGCAGATTTAATTACTTTTAATAAATATAATAAAAAAAAATTATTTGATTTAAATACTCGGTTGCTTAACTATTATCAAATAAATATTTACTGGAAGCAAATAATTTTTTATTTGAATTAAATAAATTGTATTTGAACCACTACTATATCTGTATTTAAATCAAATACCATTTAATTGACTTAAATAATAATTATTAAATACAAATAAATATTTATTTGATAATAGTCAAGTAACCGATTATTTGAATCAATTAAATTTTTTTTTTCATCGTGTAAAAAGCATTTTTGGATAATATGCTCTAAAACATTAAAATAATTATAATAAAACTTATAATAAACAAATTTAATATTTTTATACATTTTTTTACATCTATTTAACTTTGTACTTTAATATTAATAATAATTGTGATTATTAAGGAAATTATGAACTCAATAAATTATGATGAATAAATTAATCGTAGTTTTTAATACTTGTTATAAACAAATATTTTTTTTTAATGTGTAAAAAATATAAAAAATTGTAAAAAAAAGTTCGGGACTAAAAAATCCAAAAACTTTTTTTAATAAAAACTTAAAAAATAACTTTAAAGTTAAATAAAACTCTTATTGAAAAAATTTAAATATCGTTTCATTATGAGTTAAATAATATTTAAAAATTTTTTAACAGGTTTTTAAAATAAAAATATATTTTAAAAAATTAACAATTTAAAAAAATTATAAATGCATAATTTTTATCAATAAAAAAGTTAATCAGATATTCGATTAATACAATTTTAAAGAAAAATTAATTACGCAAATTATTTTTAAAAAAAATAAGTAAAAATATTTTGAAATGCAAATATTTAAAAAATTTGTCACTCATTGCCATTTTTTTTTACTATAATAAAAAAAATTCAATGCGCAATAATTGTTTTAAAATATTCCTACATATAAGAACAATTGTTATTAACAATATTAATTATTTAATAACTATAATTTATTCAGTCTAAGACTTCCCTAACAACTATACAACCATTATTGTTAAACAAAAATTTTAATTTGGAAAATTAAATTTTTTTATAAAAAAATTAAATTTTTAAATCAATTTTTTTAATTAAATTTATTTATAAAAAATTTAATTTTTTAATTAAAATTAATTTAATTTTTAAATCAATTTTTTAAATTAAATTTATTTATAAAAAAATTTAATTTTTTAATTGAATTGAAGTAAAAATAATAGTCTATTTATGAATATTATATTTATATATAAACTGTAAAAAAAATAATATAATATAAAAATGTATTATAATATTATTTACAGATTACTATATTGTAAATAATAAAAATTAAATACCTATTAAAAATATTTTAAATACACAGATAAAATAGGTTACAAAATTATACATAATAAGGTGAAAAAATTAAATAAAACTTTTCATTATAAAATAGTAAAATATTGTAAAGTGTAACAATAATTGTACCTACAATAATAATTTCAAAATATTTGTCATTTAAAATAATTTTTTTAAGAATACACAGAAAATTAAAAGGTATTAAAATAAGCTGCAACGCTTCTTATTTTAATCCATTTTTACTTATTTTAATACCAAAATGGATTAAAATAAGAAGCGTTGCAGCTTATTTTAATACCTTTTAGTTTTCTGTGTAATTAATAAAAATTAAAATTTATAATTTAATAATTGATTAATCAATTAATTATTACATTAATTAATAATTAATCAATTATTAAATTATTATTATTCAATATAATTACTAAATTAATTAATTATTATAAATTTAATGTAATAATAATAAAAATAATAATAATAGGTATTATTCCTATTCTCTATCAGCATATATAATATTAATCAAATAATTTTTATATAATTTTGTTTTAGGTTAAATGTTGAATTCCTTTTTTTATTCTTTTTTGTTAAAAAAATCAATATTTTTCAATTAAATTAGAATTAGATATTTTTTACAATATGTTATTGTTTCCATTGCGTCAAATAAATATTTTAGGGCATAAAAAGTATGATTTTATTGTTGACTAAAAGGGAATTCCGAAATTGTAACCGATAAACAAAAAAATGACAATGGAAATTTCTAGAAGCATGAAAAATTGGATTGCAACAATAAACCGCATATTTGGCAATTAAAGCACAAACCAATTATAAGAATATTTATATATAATTCAAATTTTACTTACTAATGTATGAGCAATCAATTATTTTCTCTGTTAACATTGCACATTAATAAAAATTTACAAACAATTTTCCGAATTTACACAAGGGAACAAAAATTTTTAGGTTATGAATGCATGCACACACAAATTTTGCTACATTAGAAGAGTATTTCTTACCTTTTTTTTTTTTTGCAAGTCGATGTCGAATTTCTCTTACTGATGTAGTTTATTTTATGAAAAAACATTACACTTCTACTCAATTTTTTTATAAAAAATTTTATCACAGTAACCGGCGCACCATGACGCCACGAGAATAAAGAAAAAAGCTCTTTTGACTAAGCTTACTTTCTGAATGCCGCGCGTCTGCGCAGTGCGCATTTATAAGTTTCCACGCAATTTGAAATCGAAAGTATTAAATAACATTAAAAACACAACATTTAAACAAAATCAGTTAATAATTATATAGAATAATAAAGAAAGCACTTATTTTTATAATATACATAATTAATTTTGCATAATTAATTTGTAATTTGATGAAAAAATATTAAAAATCAATTCTACATTTTTGAATCTGTCGGCTTGGTTCCTAGAGAGGAAACCGGAAATCAGCGCATGCGTGTTCCAAAATGGACAATTTTTGATGAGTTTCGGAAAACATTTTAACCTTGATTGTTTAAGAAGACGCAAAAAGACGTTAATAAAATTTTTCAACAGCAAATTTCTAACGCGGAATTATTGACAAGAATAATAAAATAAAATTGATTGTTTTAATTGTGTGCGTGTGATTAAAAGCAAACAGATTGTCAATTGTTATTATAATATACTAAAATTGTGTCAGTGTTTCATATATATAAATAACGAGACAAAGAATAAACAATTGAAGTTCTTTTTTTTTATCAATAATAATCATAAAAATTGGCGTCCTGCAAATGTCAGCCGATTGAAAGGATAATATTTTTTGCTTAAAAAACAACGATAAATATATTTATATATATAATTAACTGAGGACAATGTTAAATGAAGAGGAAAATTGCATGACATCGTGCTCGAGAACTTCCAGATCTTTATCGTCGCCAGGTATTATAAATTTTTTTCTTTTTCCCAATAATTAACCTATATTTTGATATGTTTTTGATATATTTTCATTCAGACAGCCAAAGTAGCTTTATTGATGAGACGGAAAAAAGTCCCAAAGCTGACTCTAGTTCAGGTATTAATATTTTTATTATAATTTCTATTTACAAGAATTGTCATAATTATTAATTCAATTAACAAGGGGAAATAATTCCTTCTATTTGAATTTGTATTGTCTTATGATTTTTTCTTAAAGAAAATTAGGATGATAAAATTATTTTACTATTTATATTTTTGCTTAATTATTGATAATGCATATAAATTGAATTTTATTAAAACAAATTAATTAATTTAAATTAACTAAATTAAATTAATTTTTATCAAATTTAATAAAATACATTACTTTTAATTTAATTTTATTTCCTTATTTCTTTTTTGTGAACTATTTTTATTTTTGAATAATTATTGTTAATGCATATAAATTGAAATTAAAATTGCTGCTGAATTAAAAAAATATTTATTTTATTAAGACAAATTAATTAATTCATTTAAATTAACTTTATTCAATTAAATTAATTTTTATCAAATTTAATAAAATTCATTATTTTTATTTTAATCAAAATTTTCTTATTATTATTTTGTGAATATAAAAAAATATTGATTTTACAAATTTTTGCAGTGGATAGTTCGGATGGAAGCACAGCATCGTCTTTGAAGAAAAGACTTCGAAATTTGCCTTCACCATGCGATGATTCTCCATTTGGCGATCGTGTTGCCAATTCTTACAATCGAATTTTTCGTAAAAGACAAGATTTTCGATATCATTTACAAGAATTTTCAAATAGCATTAAGGAACAGGATGAAAATGAAATAAATTCAATAACCCAAATCTCGTCCATTGTTGACATGAGATTGCAAACACCCAGAGCACGACGAAGAGCGAAAATACAGGAAACAGATTTTTCTCAAGATTCTTCTATATCTGATGATTTGAGTGGAGAAAGATTGAAATTTAACGAAATCGACAGTGAAAAATCGTCGAGTTCAACTGGAGAACCTAATTTTGATCTCTACAAAAATGACATAAAGGTATAAATATTTTCTTCCAATTAATAATTTATTCAAAAACTCACTTTATTAAAAAAAAAACTTTATTTCAAATTTTTACAAAACAAAATAATTTATTTGAAAAAAATATTTCTTTTTTATTCAAGAATATTATTTATTTTACAATAACAGGCACAAATTGAAAGAAATTCATCTTCGATGAATTTTCCAATTAATAATCAAATTTTAAGCGGTGGTGAAAAGACGAAAAAAATCGGCGGCTATCGGCCATTAGCTTCATTACTTGTTCGAAATTTGAGTTCTGAAAGTGAATCCGATACAAACGAAAAGATTTCCGATTCAAAAACAAAAATTAGAATGCTAGATTCGGAATTTTCTATTCACTCAAACGCCTCGGGAATAAATAAAAATTCCCACAAAATGGACGGAGAATTTGATGAATTTTTGGAGAATTTTCTATCGAAACATCCAGAATCGGCGTATAGTACACCGCGAAAAAAAACTAATCGAAATTGTGATGAAAAAATAATCTCAGCTCCAACTTCCAATAGAAGCAATTCATTTGAATTAATTCGTCATATTGGTGAAAAAAGATCGACAAATTTTTTCGAAACAAGCAAAAATAATGAGGATAACTCTCCATTTTCAGTGAAATCTTCAAATTATAATCGAAGGGCGGAGAATAATATTTTGAGAAAAGAAATTTCACTTTTCGAAGATCGGAAAAAATTTCAAGTGCCTACTTTGAAATTGAGGTAAAATAATTTTTATTGACGAATTATTTTAATTAAAAAAAGTTTAAATTTTTTTTTAGATATAATAATAATTAATAGAACTACTTTTTCTTTGGCTATTTGTAACGAAGAACAATTCTTAAAAAAAATTAACATTCATTCATAATTTATTTAATAATTTTGTTTGTTTTTTTATAAATTAGATCTGAAGATTCGTCGTTTTCTGCGTGTGACAAAAACACCGAATTTCAAGACATGAAAGCGTTGTTGACGGTACTTTCCGATGTTTCTTTTAAAAAAGAAAATGCATTCGGCGATTCTGGAAAATTTCGTTCCCCTTATCCGGGTAAAAATTTCATATTTCAATGATTAGTAAAATAATTTTCTTAAATTTTTAAACATTTTATTTATTAAAAAAAATCTCTCTTTTAGTTACAGAAAATTTCGATTAAAAATTAAAAATTTATAATTGTAAAAAAATAATGAAATTTACAATAAGAAAATTAAATTTTACAAATCTATTTCTTTTCCCTTTTTTTAGAATGTCGTGGGTCAGGTTTCTCCACTGGTAGGAACTCAGCAACGTCTCCTGGGATTCAAATTAAATCTCTTGAAACTCCACATTTTAAAAACGTTCAAGGGTCGCCCAGGAATATTCTAATTTCAGAGCACTCGGAATATTCCAACACGTCCCACGAGAGAATCAATCGAAAAATGGATCAATCATTTTGCGGCTTGGAAAAGGAAACTGCGGACTCAGGTTTTTAATTAATTTTTGTTTTCTCTTATCAAAAAAAACCTGAATATAAAATTGTTTTTAAAAAAAGACATTAATTTGTCTATAAAAGAAATTATTTTAGGATAGTAATATTAATTATACTTTATAAAGATAATTTATTTTATTAACAATTTTTTTCCAATCGATTTATTTAAAAAAAATTACCTAATTTGTAAAATTTATTTTTTAGTAATAAAGCGCTCAGAAGAGAAAATTGACGAAGAAATGAAAATTTCAAATAATAATGAAATAAAAACAAATGATTCATTGTTTAAATCTTCCGGTGGTGATTCGAATCGATATGATCAAGAAAAATGGGCTATTCATCGTGAAATTGGTGACAAAAAATCCATAGAAATTATTGAGCATTACCATCACGAGCCGATAACAGAAAATCCGTCAACTAATCTTTTTCAACGTAGTGCACGTTTCAATTCAATGAAACTCGCAAAATCAGAAAGTTCTGCACTTCTTGTCAAGCAGTCATCCAATGATCCGAATTTATCAGTGAAAAATTGCTCATCCACTTCTAAACTCTCATTTCTATTGAATTCAATGAAAAAAGAAACTCAGGATCGTTGTCCCTTTACGATATCGGAAAATGAATGTCGAAATTCCAAAGAAGATTGCGAACAAATTCCATTGAAGGAGGTGAGATAATTTTAAAAACAAATAATTATATTATTACAAACAATTATATAGAAAAATATAATTTTTTTAATCGCTCTTTTTGTAGTGAAAAATTAACAGAAAAATTCAATTTTCTTTTGATTTTAAAGATTTTTAAAAATTTTATTGTTTTATAGGTACGCAATTTACATTGTAAATTTTGTTTACATTGTTTACATTGTAAATTCAATTTTCCCAATTTATTTGAAATTTCATAATGATAAATGTAAAATTATAATAAAATTTTTCCACAGATTCCTCAGGAGGAATTGGTGAGTAAATCGGAAGAAAATTTCTACAAACTCGACACACATCCAAGTATTACTCGATTGGCATTGTCGGGAACTGAGATTCTACCTTCGGAATTGATAAATTCTGTCTCGTACGATGAGAGTACGCCAAAAACAAAAAATTTTCTACCCCGAATGAGAAATTTTATTCGTCGATTTTCCAATCGTTTGACACGAAAAAGTTCATCGTCAAAAAATTCATCGGCCAAGGTTCTCTTTCAAAATGTTGACTGTCGTTTTGATTCAGTCGCAAGTTCAGGATCACAGGATAATAATAATAAAAGATGTTCCATGTCGTCGAACGATGAAATGTTGGCTAAAGGACATTATTCCATGCAGCGTTTTGATTCGGAAACTGAAAGTTGTCGATTGAGTGAAATTCGTAGCAGCCGAGTCAAAAGTTCACCGGTGGATATTATTTCACGACGCAATCGATTTCCCAACGAAGATCAACAGGAGGTAATGGATTTTTATCAATTGAAATATTATTTTCATTGCAATGTTTAAGGATTTTATTTTATTATTTTAATTTACATATTTTAATTTAAAACGTTTTTAAATTTCGCGAGTTTTTCTTTTTATTTTTCTTTTAAGTGGATGGTTTTGCATTATAAATGGCAAAAATATTTAACAAAAAAAAGGTGCATATTATACATATATATGTACATATATAAAAAAAATGTGAAAGATAGGAAAACAGTAAAATCGTCCTTTCAGCATGTGGACTTAGAAAATTTTTTCGCGGAGAAAATGAAAAATGAAATTCCGAGATCGAGGAAAATTGAAGAACCTTTTATTAGTGACATCATGTTTGAAACTCGGGAACTTCCATGTAAAAGTGCAGTTGAGACAAGTTGTTTTTGCTTCAAAATGTGTCTGTAATGTTCGACGGTCGATACAAAAGGGATCAGCCAAGTAACATGATTTTTCTTTTTCATCTCAGTAGAAAGAAAATTGCAAAAAATTTTCCAAAAATTTACTTATTATGTATTATTTTAAATACATTTAACTTGAATTTTTTTTTAGCCCAAAGTTGTATGTTTTACATAAACTAAATTCTACATTTTTCATTTTTTAAGAACTCATTTTAAAATTTACGATTTTCAAATGTGTTTTTTTTCTGTGTTCTTCAAAAAATTAATTTAATATTTTTTATTAAAGAACTAAATGAAACATTTTTATTTATTTTACATATTTGAAAAATTAAATTTTAAATTTTATTGTTTTCAAAGAGTTTTGGAAATTTTTACTTATTTCAAAAATTGAATTAATAATTTCATTTTTTAAACATTGAATTTTCTTTATTGGTTTTTTATAAACTAAATTAAAAATTTGTTTTCAATTAAATTAACAAATTTATAATCTTCGAAAATTAAAATAAAAATGTTTTTTTAAAAACTTTAGAATAAAAAGAACTTGTTAAATCCAAAGAAATTTGCTAAAAATTTCAAAAATTAATTTCAGTAAATAAAAAACAAATTCTCAACTCTTTTTTGGGATAAAGAAATAAAAGAACTGGTAATTTTTTGAGGAAAAAAACTAAGAGTAAAAAAATTTGTTCTCATGCGCAACGACATAAGTTACCTTTTGTCGTTTACGTTTCTTTTTTTTTTTTTTTTTTGTTTCTTTCTTTTTTATTTAATTCGCTGTTCGTACATCTCAGTGTTTCGTTCTACTGTGACATACCAATTACTATTATTTTATCGCTTACTTCCCCCCCCCCTTTTTTTTATTTGTTCGTTCGCGTCGAGTTTCGTGCGAGCAATTAATTAATTATATAAGTCTTCAATATTAATAAGATACGATGAATTGTCGAGTTATCGCCATAATAAAATGTTCCTTCGCTATTATAAGAATTAACTTATTTTTATTATTGTTATAATTCTCGTTTATTTCTTTCTTACTTCATTTTTTTTTATCGTTATAGAAAAAATAAGTCTTTAAATAATCACATAACAATCGTCGAACGATTCGGGAGTCTGGATTGTTTTTTTTTCGAGATAAATCAACAAAAAATGGATAAAACTTAGCAAAAAAAAAAAATTTTAATATACATATATCTAATAATATAAATGAGAAGATCTATCACGTTTTTTTATATTTTCTCTGTGTTTTAATTCAAATAATTTAAAACGATTTTTTTTTAGTTAAATGTTTCGGAATATTTGAACAGGGAGGAATTTTAATAGTGAGTCTTCTCATTTATTTTGATATCTGAACAACCCTATTATTTAATAGTAGTGATATTAAGAATAATTATAATAATAATAATGATAATAGTAATAATAATGGTAATAATAATAATAGTAATAGTAATAATAAAATAATATGTAACGTATATAAAAATGGGAGTGCGGGGAACTTACAATTATCGACGTCAACCAGGGTACAATAATGTGTAAAGTTTATTGGACAGAGAAAGAGAGAATTGAAATAAGTTTATATCCAGCTTATTGAGTGTTAATGAGACTCCGAATCGATTCGATCGAGGCGCTCGCGGACGATCGCGAAGGAGCTCCACGTAAAAAAATCCGACACTAGAGGCAATCCGTTCTTACTATCTGCCGATGCCAGAAGTGAATTTCATTTCATCAATACGACTACTTTAATCACATTGAAACACGCTCGCTATTTATCATCATCGTCTTCTTTTTCTTCTTCATCATCATCATAATCCTTATCAAAATCATTCTCTTTATAATTATTATCTTAACTTTCATCATTATTTTCTTCTTCTTTATCATCGTAATCCTTATCAAAACCATTATCATTCTCTTCATAATTATTATTTTAACTTCTTCTTCATCATCATCATCATTATCATCATTGTCATAATTGTCGTCAGTATCATCATAATCATCATCATTTTCTACATACATTTTCGTTCGGCCTTCTAATACCGCGCAGACCGTACGTTAAATACCTTAATGCCTTCGTTTTTCAGTATCACAATTGAATTACCGTCATTCGTCAACGATTGGCAACTCTTTTTTTCGCTATAACGCGTCGGCAGCTAGAAAAATATAGAATTTACTCGCCTGCCTAACGAGAGAACTGAATTCGGAAAATGAGCGAGAGAACAGGCATTATATAATCCTATTTGTCGTCCGCTGTCCAAAATTAAATTGTTATATTTACAAAAAAATCGAATTCTAAATTAAATCAAAGGCGATGATGAATACGAGAATCGTAGGAATTTGCCAAAAAAAAAAATAAATCCCAATATTTTTAATTTGAAAAGTTTTTTTAGATATTTTTTTTTTAGTAGATCGGAAAAGAAAATTCGGTGTTTAAATTGCTGTATTTAGTATATATGTGAATTCGTTCGACGAACAACAGGACGGAACGGGGCGACAGACCCGTGAAAGATGAGAGTGATGAAGGATATTCAATTAGAATTCGGAAATATGCGAAAAATGGCGATATTTACATTTTCCAATAATAACGAAAAATTTTCATGCAGAAATTGTGAAAAATTGTTGCTTTAAAAAAAAAAAAAACAGCAACAATTTTTCTCCAATATTGCTAAAAAAATTTGCCGACATTATAAAGAAGAAAATTCCTTGAAATAAGGTGAATAATTTTCCGCAAATCGTTTCGAAATTCATCCAATACAATTACCACAATTAATAATCATTGAAGAAATATTTTTTTCAAAAAAAAAGTTATTCCGTGAAAATGCAAAGAATCGATAAAACTAAAAAAAAATAAACAAAATTAGGAATCAACACTTTGATTATAGATATACAAAAAGAATGTTTATAAGAAAGGTTGACCCACATTTTCTAATAAATAAAAATTTTAAAATAATTAAAAATCGATAAATTTCAGAAAAAAGGTGTTTCCTTCATTGAATAATAATTGTCGTGGCGCTGCTTGTCGTTTCTAAATCGATGACCACAGGAGAGGGTATTTTTAATATTCTTATTATTAGTTTTTTTTTTTTTTTTGGTAGTGTAACGCAAGCGGAAAGGCTACGATTATGAGACGATTCTAGTATGGTGATTTCAATTGTTTTACACGTATCTAACAAACAAATTCGATTTATTTTTCCGCTGGGTGCGTAAAATAATTTAGCACACACGTCGGTCGCCCGTCAGACATAATGAATATTTAGCTTCGTGATAGCGAACGTCCACATTTTGCTTCCGAGATCAGCTTCGTTTTATTCGAAGACGTTTTACGATTGTTAATGGTGGCAGAACGTGTCGTCTCAAGAAAACGTCGTCACAATGGAGGCGGAATGGAGAACTCCTTTCGTACATAGAACAGAATGTAAGGCTTGCATTTGGCGACTGCATCAGTACTCGCAGGTCTCACGGAACTGTCATTAAAATGGAACCACTGACCGTCATGTACAGCAAAGGCAGTGTAGTGTCCCGTTCCGGCTCTAAAAATAAACGAGATTTTTAGAACTAAATTTTATAAATATCGAAAACCAACGATTTATTTTCAAAAATTACCCTGATCCGTGATGGACAATGACAGCAGCGAGATCATAAAGATAATTATTCTGAGCACTGAGCTTCGCCCCCGTCACGCCTCTCACGGTAAATGTCGACATATCAAGGGATTCCATTGGAAAATCCACCTGCGTGTCCACCTTTGAGCGATACGAATTGCACCACCTAAATCTCTTAATGTGAAGGCACAACACCTGTAGACATTTATTATTATTAATATTATTATTATTATTATTTGTCCAGATTTTAAAAATATTTTACAACTTACGAATCAGAAATTTTAATTGTAGTACAATTTTAAGTCTTACGTTAGGTAGCCTGTGAATCCAGAACCTTTTAGTAGACCTCTGCTTTCCCATGCAGTTGTCACAAAAATAAAGTTCACTATCCGCAAGCTCTTCGACTTTGAAAAATCTTGACAGACTATAAGTTAGACTGCATACCTCCTCCTGGTCTTTTGTTCGTCTTTGTAGCCTGTCTGGAATGTCCAGAGAGAGATCCTGGAAGGGCTCATGTGTTTTCGAGTCCGTACGGCAGTTCATACAGTGAACCTTACAATCAATTATTGATTCAAATATCGAGTCAATAAAATTCCTTTTTTTGTACCTACCCCCACACTCGGAAAAAGTAATTAAAAATTCTTATCTCTCAAAGAATTATATAATTATCCTTCCGAGACATTTTTCTCATTTTTTTTTTTTTTATCAATAGTAAAGAAAAAGAGTAAAGAAAAGAAAAAATAAATGATACCTACCACACTCAGTAAAGTGCCACCAAAAACAGCAGTAACAATACTTTGTTTTCCTCGTAGACCGAGTGGTTCATGACCAAGTCTTGGTAATAACTGCAATAGCTCAGTGTGTAACCTGTCAAGCATATAGGTGAGAAATTCATGAGCGTCTTGCTGTTGGTAGCCCCTAAAACGTGGCACCACTTTCCAAATGACAAGAAATAGACATTCCGGCGAAATGGCTTGGCCATTAGAACCGCCAAGACTCAGTCCCAGCAAGACCTTTCTTAATTCTTCCGCCAAAAGAGCATCGCTTAACTCTTTTGCTCGACCCGGTGCAACTATTCGACCCCTATGCGTTGGGGGCTCATCAAACGCAATACCTTCCAAACTTGGCATTTGCGTTAAATACTCGCAAAAATGGCTAATGTTGTTAAACGACTGTAATACGACATTCATGAAGCAGGTGTTACCCAAATTTCTCAGGCCCACGACCTTCTTCTCTTTGGCATTTTTCGAATTTCTTCGTTTCGTCGTAGGCCTATTATCGCCACTGGTACCATCCAACGAGTGTAGCCTCTTTCTGGTCCTTGGCCTAAAATTTACACAAACTATAATCCCTAATATAGATCTTATTATAATAATTTAAAATCCTTTCTCTATATGAGAAGGTAAAAATCAGTTTATCGCAATTTCAAAGTTCTCGTTACGGTAAAAGAATATTTCGTCACTAATAGACCAAATGAATCAAAATGGGAGTAATAGTTATAGTTAAATCGACTTGCCTAAGATTCCGAACGACGACTTCCGCCTTCCAGAGGGCGTCCGCAGCCGAGGAGTCACCATTCTCAGGTCCATGTGGGGATGGTGTTGATGTACTCCAACTCTCGTCATTCTCCTTGAGCTCGCTCTTTCGGAAGGCATTACGTTGTATCGCCTCGATGACGCCGTTGTTGATGCCATTCACCACGTACTCGTCACAGATGTAACTGGAAGAAAGGATCTGCTACTCGATCTGCACGATGACCTCAATTCATTTTTCGCCCCAGCCTAGAAGCACTCAGGGTTACACTCACCAAAATACAGCCAGGTTTTCACAGTCAATGCACACGCTGTGCTGAGTATTTTTTTCATGATGCTGTAGCGCGTGCCCCGCCTCATAACGTCCGCAGTGGATTGCTCCGCAATGCAGACACAGCCAAGTACTCTTCTCCGTTTCGCATACTGTCGTCCAGAAAAACCGAAAAATAAAATATTTCTTTATTATATTTACAATCCAATCCAATTTTATATTTACAATTAGGGTCAAAAATGTTTGACTGTTTTTTGCGATATGCTTTTTTATCTATAAGAGATTTGGTTAAATATATAGAGAATTAAATAAAGGCGAACATTTGATGCAAAAACTGAAATCGTGAGTAGCACTTGTAAAATAAGACAGCCATCACGTAACTAGAAATGAATAAATGGAAACCGAATACCTTAAAGCTACCTTTAGATGCAACCGGTTCATCTCCAATCATAATGCATGAAATCCCAGAACTTGATATGCAGTCATTGCTACCATATTGTATCAAAAGTATATCATAATTATTACTGAAGTTTAAGATTTACGACAGGCTCGACAAAAAGTTACTAATTTTATTTTCATTTTTTTGCTAAATACTAATTTCTATATTAATTTCAGATACTAGTGATTACTTTTTAATGATTGTGTTGGAAAAACTAATATTAGCTAAAAATGAAAAGGGGGAGTGGTAGCAATTCTACGTAAATAAACCTTACACATTACACTGAAAAAAAATTCTGGTTAGGCTATATTTAACATTACTTTCTAGTTATGTTAACTAGAATTCTAGTTGAATTAACTAGAATTCTCGTTAACCTAACCAGAATCAAAATGTTAAATATACCCTAACCAGAATTCTGGTTATTCTAACTAGAATTTTTTTTCAGTGTACAACTACAAATCTCAATTAATTATTAGATTTTAATAAAGCCAGGTTAGATTAATAATAACTTTTTTTTCTAAAAAAGAATTTATAAAATTAGAGTAGGTCCGCAATCAATACTGCTTCTGTATTTTCTCAAGCAAAACTGCCTCTGGAAATTTTAGATATATTTCGTTCTCATAACCCAAGGAATCTCTCTCTGTTTTATTGAACAGAAAGTATAAAGAATCATTAAAGTTAATCGTGTTTTCCACGATTGTCATGTCTGGGAGTGAAAGTTCCGGTTTGACGCGATCAGCTCATTGTATATATTATACATAGACAAACGAAAAGTCATCTTCTAGTTTTGTGTGAATCATGCTCGTATAATTGTATATGTATACACATACACGGTGTAGAGAATATTTAATAAATCGCGCAAGAGCAAAAAAAAAAAAAAAAAAATTTATATATGGGAAAAGCTGCACGAGTCTGCGACAGCGGATCTCACGCCATCTGATTAGTAAGCTGGCTGCTATCGATTTTGCAACGTTGCCTGGTCGCCTACTTAACGACAGACTCGTTTTTCTTGTTCCGAAAATTCCCACGAACACTGCCAGCGCGCCAAGTAATGAAAATTATTATTTTTTTTTCTCTCGAAAAAGTAAAAAAAAAAAAAAAGAATTATAGTACATACATCATAAAATAAACGTTCCACGGTACAAGTTTTTAAAATTGTGAGTCGCGGCGCGTTACGAGCTACAGAGCGTAAACTCACCGATCGTAGAGCACCGATAAAGTCAGAAAGATCCAGTCGTAAACGAATCGAATGATATCATAAAGTCAAAAAAATATTTCCCTTTTCTTCAAATAGAAACTTCAAACTATTTAACAGACACAATGATTGTGTTCCAAAACAATTGCGGACAAAAGTAAACTTTTCGCGCAAATGTTTCTGATAAAATAGATTGTTATAATAGGAAATGATTTTATTATTATGACGAATGTCCAAAAATAATTTGATTACGCATTCATTGCTTGTGAGGTAGAAAACGATTGTTATTAGAAAGAAACCTGTCTTCGTGAAAGGTTGGACCATAAGAAGAACTAAGAAAAGAAGGAATTGAAGAAACTCCCCACTGCTTTCAAAAAATTAGAATGTACTCTCTCGAGGCACTAGAGTCCCTACTTTTTTTGTCGTTTGTCCTTGCGAAGCAAATCCACGTGCATTGTTACCCAATGTTACCCAAGGAGGCTAATGAACTTTTTCTGTTAAACTATCTTTTACATCCATTTCTTGATTGTCAATTTTAAGTACTTTTTACAATTTTCATTTTTCATTATTATTCTAACAAATAGAAAAATTCAAAAGAAATTTGTGTAAATTTTGAAAATTGCACACATTTTAGATGTCTTTTTTTTATCGAGTATGCTTTGTTTTCAAGTTAATTAGTTCCAATGTAGAGACGTCACCACTAAAGATAATAGTTTCAACAATTAGAGCTCGTGAATTCGAGTTCCTTTCATTGCCCTTTAAATCTACGGCTCCCTTTGCATTTCTTGGATGTTTTCTTTTTACACAATCTTTGCTTTCTTAGTCACATTTGGACATTAGGAATTTAGTGAATTTCAGAATCAATTTTGCGAAAACATTTTTCAAAACAGGAAAACAAAGAATAGCTTCAAAATTTGAATCAAAATTCTAGTGTATATAATTCGAATTTGAAGTTTCAATTCCCCTACACGAGTTAGCCTTGACATTGAGTCATCAAACTTTGATCAAATATTTACATTGTCTGTCATCTCTCTGGGTCTTTTATGATTCAAATTTTCAAAAGAATTTCAATCTTTTTTTTTTTGGGGGAATTTTTTATTATCAAGGTACTAAAAATTGATTATTGGTACTTTTTTTTTGGTGAATAGGTCTCTCAACTCGTGAATCCAAGGGATCGTAAACGAAAGGTCGGACTGCACGTTTCGGCGTAAATATAGTCTCGAGGTCGAACAAAGCGAGGCAAGATGGAAGGTCTGTGATGAAAGCAAAAAACAGGGGGGAATAAATCGGTATACCGTGGAAAAAAGAAACAACCAAAACTCTATATTGACCCTTTGAATAATTTTTGTTTTTTTTTTGTTTAATCTGCAATTTTCCGGATATATCAAAGTACTTTTGTATTTAGTTTACTATAACTCGTATTTTGTAGATCGTCTACTTTCGGATAAATGAATTTTAGTTGTAGGAAATTAATTACCATTTGGAAATGAATCGTTAAATACCAGTTGGTCCATTCTCATTGTCATTGATTTTAAAAATTGTCTCCTATTTGTAATACTGTTAGGGATTAATATCTAAAGATTTTAAAATAGAAGTCAATGGGTATAAAGAGATGTTGGATATTGACAAAGAGCACGTAAAAATAAACTCCAATAAAGTAAAATTGAAGATAATTAACGTTAACAGAAAACTAACCACTTGTTAAAAATTGACGATTTTTTTTTGTACTTTTTTCGAGAAAATTCTTTTGATATGCAGTGATGAGAATTAATAAGATGTTTTTTTTTTTTTTAGAATGTTGATCTTAATTATCAATGACGATGAGAGTTTCTAATGACGGCATCTCAGCCCAGCTGATTAGTACCGTCTGGTATTGATTTTCCAAGCCAACCGCGACACACACACACAGACACAAAACTTGCGAAGCTAGGAATGACGCACACGCGCAACACATTCGCAACACCCACGGCCCCAACGAACCTGCACCCACATCAACTAATTTCAGTAACGTTCGAATTTCAATTAGGAGGTTACAATTTTAGGTCTCAGTTTCACATGGACTTTCAAATTTTCAACTTATTCACACACATGATTTATTCAATTTTTTTAGAATCTAAAATCTTTTTGTTCTCTTTGTTTAGAAATAGGAAGATTTGGACCGTAATCTCTTAGAAAAGGATCTCAATACTTTTTAAAACAAGGACTTTATGTATGGGAAAGGAATTTGATTTTCTTAGGTTGAAGAATAATGGGAGAGGGGCTTCCGGGAAAAACGGGTTGGAACTGGTCGGAGGTTTCTCAAGGCCGGGAGAGGAACGGCCTGAGAATCAAGCCTTTTGGTTCGACCTGATCGAAATGGGCTCCAAAAGGGTGAAAAAGATGAGGACATTTTTTTTTTTTTTTGAGAGAAGGGGTCGGAGTGCAGAGTTTTACCTGCGCAGGCAAACGGCAAATCCTTCGAGTAGGTTGCTTCAACATCGTCAACGGTGATGCAGACGCTTTGAGCAAGATGTGGGCACTCCATCTTTTATTCCTGAAAAAAATGATAGGTCCCCCGGAATGGCCCCTGGTGAGGCCCTTCCGAGTGTTTTTTTCCTTTTTAATTCCCTCTGGTCTCACTTCTTTTCTTTAACAAGTCAGCCTCGATTTTGATGATTAAATATTATGTCTCACTATTTCACGATGTTGAGAGACAAAAAAGAGCCACGAGTTTGTGATCTCACTCGCTCCTTATTTGATGGGGTACACTACAAAGTGCCCCAAGGTATCACTCACATAGCGAGAGCTTCGAAATATAAATGACTTGGTGAGAGTGTGTTTTAATATACGATCGCGATGCTCGACAACGACCAACTGACTGACTGGTGAGAGCCAGAGCGAGCCAGGGAAAACTTTGAGGAAGGGTCGATTTGCAACGCACCATGCGCGACGAGAGCCACAAGGAGCGTCAATGAAACACTCGATTTTAAAACTTTTGCGATATGCCTTGTTGTAAATATAATAATAATAATAATTGGAGAAAATGCAAGGCAAGCAGCGGTCGAAGGCACCCAGTCGACTCGACTGGCGAGTCTCGGGACACGGCGCTGACCGCCACTGTACTTGGCTTCTTCCTCTCAGGAACACAAATGCTTTATGCCTCTTTTCCCTTATAATACTGGTAGGGTCCCCCCCCCCCTCTTCCTATATCCACTCTTTTTTCGTCAGGTTAGGTTAGTTTTATGCCATTCAATGCTTTGAAATTTGGGTTGGGTTAGGTCGCGCGCAGTCGCATTTATCGTTTCTGCGCAAAAATCTGCGTGAAACTCTCAGTTTTCCTTTACCCCCGATGGAGTAGGATTTTGTACGTCAGGATCGTCTAAAATTGGTGTGATACCCAGAAATTTTATGGGACATTTTTTTTGCTAATGTCACAGTCAAAAAATAAATTTCTTTTATTGGTCTTAAACTCTAATAAATTTATTACCCTTATTGGGAATAAATTCTTCAAATATTAGTTTATTTAAACTAAAATAAATAATAGTATGTTTTAATATTTTTTTAAACAAAAAGAATTTTAAAAAATTTGATTTTAAAATAATTTTAAACATTTTTTCTATACTGTAAATTTTCATTATTTATAAATTATGAAATTTTACAAAACAGATAAATAATTATCTAAATTGATAAAAATTGGAAAATAATTTTTTTTTATATATTGACATATTCTACTTGAAAATAAACAATACGCGTCAAATGTGTAACTATAAAAGGAAGTTGTATCAAAGATACCATCCTCTCCCCCTTTCTCCCCATTACATCAAGTCACTAGTGTATACACATTGCAAATAATTAATTAGTTGCAGATATTTTGCTCATGACACTTGAAGCAAGGTGGAATTTCATAATTTTATTTTTTTAAAAGCAATGAGTCAATATTTTTGAATTTTCCTTTGATTAAATAAAATTTTAAACTTTGTTTCACACAATTTTTTTATACATTAACAGTTGTATCAAGAATAAAAGTTCAAATGTTAGGTATACAAAAGGGTGATTTTAGAAATTCATAAAAAAAAATAATTCCCACCTTTTTTTAAAGTATTTTTTTCTTTCTTTAGCACTCCTATTTGTCTTTTTCTAAATTAACAAATTTTCTATTTCGTCATTTTATTCGAAAGTTAAAGAAAGTAAATTTATTTCTATTTTGCATACCATAATGTGAACTTAAATCAAAAAATTGCTTAAATAATGCTTTAAATATTTTATAATAGTCGCGACTCCTTGCCACCCCAACTCAAGCAGATATTGATTTATAATTCTTCCAGCTGTATAGCGAAATATTTTATTACACTCGAGACACTGTGCACTAATTAATTTTTCATTTCTTTTTTTTCTTTGCAAAAAAAATTTCTAATACAATTTAAAAAGAATTTCTCATTGATAAGGGAAAATTAGAATTTTTTTTTGAAATCGTCAAATATTAACAAATTTTTAAAAAAAACTAGGAGTCAATTGTCAGAAATTTTTATAAAAAGAATTTAAATTTAAAAATGTTCAAGTTGAGCAAAATTAGTTGGGGGGAATTTCGAAAATAAAATTTTCCGTCCACCAAAAAATAAACTCGAATTTAGTACGTTAAATAATTTAAGTTACAAATTAAATTAATTTTCTGCAATTCCGACTTTTTTTTTAATTAATAAAAATATTCTAATTTTTCCAATATTATTCTGTGGCTCTAAAATCTCTTGATACCTCACTGATGAAACATGTGTTTATCTAAATGTGTGTGTGTGTATATATATATATGAGAGAATATCCGATATGTTCACTTCACAATCAAGAAAAACGAATGCAGTGCCTCCTAGTTTCATGGCAAATGTCTAGCCGCGTGTTTGCATGAAAATTGTGACGACCACATTGGCAAAAAAAAAGGAAAAAAATACCCCTCTCATTTTAAATAATGTCAACAAATCGTAGTTTTCGCGATACAAGTGACATAAGTTTACAACTAAAAATGCAAATTTTAACAGAATTACATATTCTACTGTTTAAGAAATGAATTTGTTTGTGCCTCGAATTTATAAGACAATAAAGAAAAAATTGCTTTTCTTTTTTCTTATCAAACGAAAGTTCCTTTTCAAGGCCTCTTGAAATTTCTCTTCAACTAGAACAGAAAACTAAATAAGCAAAAACTGAACAAAATTAAAAAAACAAAATCAAAATCCTATTTAAAAGAAAAAATATTTTTAAATGTAATTTAAACTTCAATATAGAACAATATTTTGTATAGTCATAAAATATTAACTAAATGATTTATGAAAATATATAATTGTTAAAAAAAGGGTAAAAAATTAATTACATTACTATTTTTAATTACGTAATTCTCAATAGTAAAAGTTAAATTAAAAATTAAATTAAGTGTTAAAAATTGAATTTAGAAATAAAAATTATATTTTAGGTAAAAAGATTTTATATAATTGTTGGAAAACAAAATGAAACTCTTGCGATTTGAAAATCATCGCATATGGTAAAATTTAGAAGAAAGGGTTCTCAAGACGTTCAATTGCCAGTTTGCGTTTTTTTATTAATAAAAATGCCCGACTGACATGTTTTTCATTTTCATTTTTTTTTTTAATGTACGTGAAAAGAATGTATGTGAATTAATTTCGCCTGTTCGGGTACGGATGGTGTGCTGCAGGTTGAATTAATTGAAGACCAGGAATGTTATTCATCTCCAAGAGTTTCAACATCTCCTTAGTCTCGGCATCAACCTCGATGATGTCGCTCTCCAAGGCAGAAATCTCAGGAACGTAATTGTCCCTTCTTTCACGTTCCTCTTCCTGGAGTTTTATGGAAATGCCACGCACTTGACAGTGGCGAAGTCTCTTCATAAGGTGAGTAACAAATCTAGTTTTTATAAAAATTATTTTATTAAAAATTAATAACACACATTAAAAAAAAGAATAATAATCAAATAACAAATTCATAAAATTTAGATAAAAATAAATAAAAACCCTAATTAATTTATTTTAAACTTTCTTTAAAGGTAAATATTTTTTTAATATTCAGAAACAAAAATGATTAACTAATCATTTAAATTTTTAAAACTTTATTGTAATTATATTTATTTTTTTACATTTAAAAAAAATATTTTATATTCCGTTTCTATTTTAAGGTTAGAAACGCTAAATTTAATTTCATACACAAATTATTGTTTTTTATTTGAGAAAAATGTTCTAATAATTTTTCAAATTTTTTAATTTCTATATTTTATTTTAAATATAAAATCTCGTTAATCTTTGTTTAAATAAACAAAATATAATAGGAGAGCATAAAATAATCTCAAAATCATGGAAAATAATTGTAAACAATTATTTATTTTTGTAAAAAAATTAAAAATTTGATTAAAAATAGAAAAAGAAAATTCGAAATAGTGAAAACAATTTCTAGGAACTAGAAATGAAAGATATTTTTTTTTTTTTGTTTCTTTTACAAATTTTTGATATTAAATTTTACAAAAAGAAAAGTAAAAATAAACTCACCCAGCAATTTTGTTCTTGAGGGGTTTGCTAGGGATAATAGCAATTTCCTCGCATATTCTCTTATTCGTGTGGAAATCAAGAGTGAGACGAGTGTAATATTTCTCGATGATGACTCGAGCGGCCTTTTTGATAGTTTTTGTCCTAACGCGACCCTAGAATTAAAAAAAAGAAAATCGTATAATATTTTTAGAATATCACGCAAAATGTTTAGAAAAAAAATATCACATTAAATATCCGAACACAAATAAAAATGACAACTATATAAACTGGCACTGAATAACATAACCTCAAAACTCGCGAAGTAAATTACTAAAAAATAATTCAAGTAAAATATTAATTTTTCACACAATATTGTAACGAGTAAAAAAAGGAAAAAGAATAGATCATTATTGAATTGAAATATTAATAAATTTCCAATGGATTACGGAGATTTAAAGAGATTTTTTTGTAAAAAGTGAAATAACTGTACACACCATTTTGGCAGATTAACCGGAAAAGGCACGAATGCGTGGAAGAGCAACTAGCGCTCCTAGCACTTCCGTTTTTATTCAAAATCACCTATCGTCGGTAAAAAAGAAAATCTCTTATCCATAGCTTGAATGTTAAAAGTTTCTAATTCCGCTCGGCAGATGCCGCCCTCTTCTTAGTGATATTTTGTAGAGGTTTTGGAGGGAAAACAATCATTTGTCGTCGACAGTTGCTACAGTTAACAATCAAATTGTCAATTAAATGTTAATTAGAAAAAAGTTGAGTGTTAATTAAGTGATAATTATTGAAAATAGTTTATTATCTTAATTGAAGTTTATAAAAAAAAGGATTCACTTCTTTGTGTCGAGAAATGTAAGTATATGAAAATATGACAACATGATAATTCGATTTTACAATTATTGTTCGCGAATTAAAGTTAAAAAATTAACTCAGAAAAAGTAGATAATGATACGATTAATATTAGATGATTCTTTTCAATAAAATTTTATTGTCAATGCTGTAGTTAAGGTGAGTGAGGTTATAATGCAATTTTTTAATTAACGACAATTGTTGAATTCAGGTTAACCTAAAAAACATAGAAACTTTCGATAAATAAGTCTTTTATTTAATAAATTGTTATCGAGATCAAAGAAATTGAAACATATTTTGAAAAGTTAGGTTATGATTGTGTACTTTCTTATAAATAGCACAAAGTATATTAAATAAATTCGGAAAATAATTCGATTACAAAAATAAGGCGGAAATTTTTTATCATTTCCGAATAAAACTTAAAAATTGTGGTATTAGAAAAAAAATGTTAATTAAATTTATAATTCGTAAGCACTATATTCAAATAAAAATTATAGTTAAAATAAAAATTAATATTATTAATTTTGTTCGATAAAAATATTATTTCACGTTAAAAAAATGTTAGGTATTTACAGACACGATACATTTTTATCTAAAAAAAATATATATATATATATATAAATCTCTAATTTAAAGTAAATGGAAACTTTAAATTTATAATTATAAATAGTTTATTATAATTAGTAATTTTATATAAACAAAAGTTTTTATTCTTTTTTTTTATTTTTTATTCATTTATTATAATTTTAAAATTACTTATAGACTTTAATAAAGAAAAATATA